TCCCGCAGTCGGGGTCCCCTTTGCCGTCCTTTCAGGCGCCGTGGCTGCCCGAGGCGGGCTGGGGCAGGCTCAGCCCTCCGTTTTCTTTGGGAAAACAAAGGCCTTTTCAGAAATAAAAGCTCAAGACACGGCGGCCGGCTGCTGGCGGTGGTTTATTCGGCTCCGTGGAGGGATGCCGTGCCTGTGCCGTACTTGTGCTGGGGTGCCACGTTCCCTGGGACTGGATGTGTGTGGCAAGGGATGGCTGGATCGCTGATCTCGGGATGGGGAGCCGGGGTCCTGGGACGGGGTAGTGAGGGGCTGGGGGTCGGGTGGGCAGGGTAGGCAGGACGGCGCTGGCTGCAGGGGGTCAGCCCAGCCCTGGGGCGATGCCCCCCGCTGCGCCGGCGGCACTGGGCTCCCCTCCCTGCCAGCCATCACCGTCCTCCAGTGCCTCGGCAGCCGGCACAGCTGACACCACCGGCCCCAGCAGGGCGATGTAGTAGGAGCTGCAGTAGACGGGCGCCTTGTTGGGGCTGGAGTAGACCTGCTCAGGCCGGAGCGAGGCGAAGGGGTTGGCGGCATAGCCCATGATATGCGTCTCGAGCTCCACCAGGATCTGCAGGGAGGACTTCAGCTCCTGCTCGCTGCCGGGAGAGGGGGAGGACGGGCCCCGTTACCAGCCGGCTGTGCTGGCACGCTGCGGGGGGGTGGGGGGGAGCGGGACTGTGCTCACCTGTAGACGGTGAAGAGGACGGGCAGGCAGTAGTCCCGCAGCAGCAGCAGGGTGGGCAGCCAGCCCGCCAGCAGGTCTGGGCAGGCGTGGAAACCTGTGGGGACACGGCGGGGGGCCCCCACCTCTCTCCCATCCTGTCCCGGCCCCGGGGGAAAGATGGCTTTAACGGCAGCCACTCCGTGCTGGAGACCCCGGGGTGCACGGTGATGCTGGCAGTGGGGCTTGGCAGCCCTTGGCAAGGTGGGTTCCGTCTCCCCACCAGCATGAGGGGCATCCCCGGCTCTGGGTCCTGGGCTGAGCCACCGCACCGAGACCTGAAGGCAGGGACCCCTTTGGGTGCTGCTCGCACCCGCTGACCGGCAGGTGGGTGACACAGGCAGGACGCTGAGTGCCTGGGGGGGATGAAGCAGCCGAGCCCCAGGGGGTCACCCTGGCTGCTCTGGCTGTGCGGGGTGGCCCATTGTGGCTTAGTGCACGGCCGTGGCAAGACCCGGGCACGTCCTGAGCCCCCAGCGGTGCCGGGGCACTCGGGGTCTGCCCTGTACCCTGCCAGGGACGTCCCACTCCGGGCAGCGGGGTGGCGAGGGTCCGGGCCCCTCCACAGTGCGGGCACTCACCCGGGTGAAAGCCCACCACCAGGTCGGGCCGGGCAGCCAGCTTCGTCTCCACGTGGCTTTCCCAGAAGTCGTGGTACAGCCCCTTGTAGCTGCTGAGATAGACCCTTCCCCGGGGCGCTGGCGCAGCCAGGGGTGGCCTCATGACGGGTCCGTCGACCACGTCCACCCCCACCATCACCACCTCCACGCCCCGGTGCCCCGGGAACATCCGCGTCAGCTCATCGTAGTCCGTCAGCCGGGTGTTGAGGGTCTCGACGTGGGACGCCCCCACCACGTGCACAGTGAGGACCTTGGCCAGGGGGTCGATGCCAAAAAGCCGCAGCCCCAAGCCAATGGTGAGCGGCCGCGCGTGGAAGCGAGCGCGC